ACACAAATACAGGGAACCAGCCAGCAAATTCCCATTTTTGTGGCATATTTAGCCTGTGAACTGCTTCCACCCAGCTAACGGAGCCCTAGTGAGGGAGGGAGCTCACGCTGGCTCCGCACTTCCCTGCGGGCTTGGGGCGATGGAGCCACCGTCCCCAGGCAGCTGGCACTGCCACAGAGGGAGAAAAGCCACCGCGCTCCCAGCCCACTGTGGTGCCCAGCTCTCCTTGGACTACACACAGCTTGAACTTCACAGTAATTTCTTGGTAGATTAAAGTCTTATCAGGCACTTGCTAGACTCTACTCCTATTTTAGCAGCTTGACCTGAGATAATGGGTAAATTGACAAATGCAAAGGGAAGGAGAAAAAAACCCACAACCATGTATTTATAGATTTCAACATAAGAAAAGGCTCTTAACCGTCTCCCAATTAACAAGCTGTACTTTTTTTTTCTATCCATCAACAAGAAAACTATCTGGTCACTCAGGAAAGAGAACACGTGCTGCTAAATGCATTTTCTGAAGTGTCCATCTTTTAGTTGTCTTGGGTACAGGGCAAGTTCGTGACTTCACTTACTACAGCCAAGGCAGCTCTATGCTTTTCTTTTTTTGGGGGGGGTGTGGGGTGTTGCATGAAGAAGACCATGTATAGTCCCTTGCAACACATCCGCCCTCTGGTTTTTAGCATTTTAAAGTCAAAATATGATGATTAACACCAGAAAAAATGTAGATAGCTGAGACGGAAAAAAGGCATAATTAGGAAATGAACTAACAGCAATAGTATTTTTGTTACTTATAAAATTATTAAGATTTTATTCAGCTGGAAAAGGTCATTAAAATAATCACTCAAATTTACAAACATTTCATTATAATCAGGCTGCTACTATAAACTTGTCTATATTATGGCAGCCTAAATTTCTTTCCAAATTCCAAAGCCACAGAAATTAATTTTTCCTGACAGCACCTCGTTTACAAGTGTACACGTATAACGAGTGAGATCTTGGCCTTCTGCAAATCAGTGGTACTTCTGGAATCCTGGCTCAGCTGAAGCTGGTGGCATCCACAGCCATCAACAGCACTGCAGGTCTACACTGCTGGGGCAATTTCTGACAAAAACATCTTGTTAAGTAAAATAATTTTCTGTAGGAACATACTAAATTTATTAAGCTCTGATTGATAAAGTTTTTTTTATGCTGAAATGCAGTATCTGGTCAAAATGAGAAACAGATGCACTCCGGAACAGTCAGTGGGTTGATGATGAGGATGTTGCCACGGGATGAACCAGGTTTTAAACTGTCTGCAGTGGTCACTGCAACCTATAGTCTGAAAAATGGCTGGAAGTCAACACTCCTGGCAGCTCAGAATTTCTCATAAATAGTAAGAGTTTCATACCCAGTTCTACTCTCCACTACTTTCAGGCAAAAATTCCCAATGAGACAGCGCCTCAGGAGGGTAGTTAGCAAATTACCCTTTTGCCACAATGATATTTAGGATGAAAACCCTACTTTGCTGTGACATACCCTAATTATTGTTAAGCCTCTTTCTTCCCTTCCCCTTCAGTTTTCCATTCTATTATCTTGCAGGTTTTTTTAAGCACTTGCACACAGAATTATTAGCCAGTGATAACTGTATAACTATGTTCATAGAATCATAGAATCGCTTTGGTTGGAAAAGACCTTTAAGATCATCGAGTCCAACCTTTAACCTAACCCTGCCACCCGACCACTAAACCATGTCCCTAAGCACCTCATCTATCCTTCTTTTAAATACCTCCAAGGATGGGGACTCTACCACCTCCCTGGGCAGCCCATTCCAGAGCCTGACAACCCTTTCAGTGAAGAAGTTTTTCCTAATATCTAACCTAAACCTGCCCTGGCGCAGCTTCAACCCATGTTGTGGGAAGCCCATAGGTAAATCCTTCAGAATCTGAAACTTTGTGCTGATCTACTCTAAAAACACATGCAGGGTTTTTTTTTTTCTATAGCTCAACCATAAATTACTTATTGTTCATATGGGTACCACTGGGAACATCAATCACAAGTCCTCTCTCAGTCCTCCTCAATACTCCTGTCAGCTGACACCTGTGCTACAGGCACAGGGTTTTTTTGCTTAAACATTACAACCCATGACACTGTTTCTTGCGCTGCTCAGTTCACCTCCTTGCACATCGGCCAAGTAGTATCTGAGACACAACCGAGCTGTAAGAGCACACCACCATCAGACACATTCTTCCAGAAAGTCCTGCGGGTCTGTTGAGCAGAGCAGAGATTGGAGCTTCCTCCTCTGAGGACATTCTGTTTCTACATCATGTGATGGAATTTCACAAAATGTGTGTAAGATCCAGCACCTCCCCATTCCTCCCCCCTCCCCCACCAAAAACAAACAAACAAAAAACCCGGTTCAGAAAGGTCACAATATTTTCCCTATATTGAGCATGACACTTCATCTGCCCATCACAGGTCAATGCCTCCTGGGAGTCCTCATTCAAATGTCATCCTGCCCTCATTCCTCGCCTTGCCTGAATCCAGTCCCTATTCTGTTTTGTTCAGAAAACACTGGCTGACTGGAGCCGCCAGGAGGTCAGGAATGTCAGTCCCCTGGCAATAACCGAGCAGTGGGCAGACTGTGGGGAAAATGATAAAAACTGCAGTTTTTCAGGCAGATACCACATGTGGAAGCATTATGTATGGGAATCTCTTACAGAACTAGACTGCTCTGAATAAATGTCTTCCCATGCCATTTCAGCAGTTGTTTCCCAAGCAGACACCTAAGAGAAAGTCAAATCCATTGTGCATGTTTTTCCCCAAATTACGCAAAAATAAGTATAAAAAGAGGATGAAATGGAGCATTGTTAATGGTTTAGTAATTGGGATCTTAAATTCTCAAGTCTTTCACAATGTAATAGTTAAAATCACTGGCACAGAATGAAATGCAAGTGGTGTTGTATTAGCTCTCCTGTAATTCACAGTCTATATTTAAAGATAAACTCATGGTAAAAAAATTAGTGAATTAAATGCACTTTTTAAAAAAGCAGTGTGAGAAAATATTGTGCAGAATGAAATAAGACCGTGTGAATCTTGTAACTGGAACCAACACTTTCAAAACACTTTCTTAGGTTGAAGTTTCCAATCAGGTACTTTAAGGGGTATCTATCTATCCATCTATAGACAGACACGTATCACCACAAGAAACCAAAGAAAGAGCAAGTGATTACTATCTGAAAGACTTACCGCAGAACACGCTATGAAATGCAAACGTTTGACATGAAGGTCTGATTTGCATGCCTATTTCTACACTGATCGATAGCGTTCACCTCACAAGGCTTTTTTGCTTTTGCAGAAATTTCTCAGTAGGCTGTTAAATATCCATGGTAGACTTCAAAGAAAAAAGGGAGTCATCCTCATCTGGTCACGAGGGGAACGTTAAATGTGATAAATAAACTGGATTTATGACCTTTCAGTTTTACTCTGTTATATACACAGAACATATTTTTATTTAAACAAAAGAGGAAAAAAAAGAAAGAGAAAACAAAAAAAAAGGGGGAGGGGGGGTTGTCCAACCTGCTTTTTGAGTCTCACAAGCACCAGAAAAGTTTTAATACTTAAAGGAGAGGTTCTTAATCTGGTTTTGCTAACATCATAATTAGAAAGCACTGGCAAACAGCTGAGATGAAATGTTTGTCAGAGATCCAGATTTGCTTATCTTTCCTAAGGTTTTTTAAAAAGCCTGGGGAGAAGAGGGAGATTGAGAGTAAAATTATGCACTTCTACTGGTCTGTCACAATTTCTCTACCTACAAGCACTCACAAAGGAGGAGGAAAGGGCAAAGACCAAATTTTACTCCTTAAACCTAATCTCTGTCATTTAAGTTTGCAGAAAAGCATATGTCCATCAAAGTTTCTTTAGAAAATATATAAATTTAGGTCTGCAATTATCTGGTAGAAATGCCTATTTAGCTTTAATCCTCTCCTTAGCTTCCATTAAGGCAACCACATCCCTTTGGCTAGGGCAGGCTGTAGATCCGAATGGGGATGAAATAGAGGGCACAGACTTAGGAACTGTGAAGACTTGCTGCACTGCATGGAATTGGTTTAATTCTGAGAGAGGGGTTGAGAGCTTCTGCTCTGTTACGATGTTTGCACATAAACTGTAATATTTGGCATTGCATACCTTCAACCTTTTGCTGTAATCCCAAAATAAAAGCTAGATTATTACAATTCAAATAGCAATACATTGCAACATTACCCTAATACCCTAACATTTGAGCCAGATATTTCAGATGGTTCACATAGTTATAAAAGACTGATTCCAAGGAAAATTTACTCACAGAAATGGAGACCAGAAGTACTGGCCAAAACAATGAACTTGAGCCCAGAGCATTCATCAGAGCAACAGAGTGCTGAGGTGCTACTTGTGGGCACAGGGAGAGGAGCACCCCTGTCCCTCCCACCCCCACAGCTGGAGCCCCGGCTTCCCCCTGCTCGCCCCGCACTGGTCCTGTCCCACGGAGGGCTGCACAGGGGCCTGCAGCACGTAGGAAGAACCCACTCCCCCCCCATAAGGCTTCTCCCTTTATTTTGCAATGACACTGCAAACATTTGATCTCTTCTGGCCTGCAAATGTTTCTAAAAATCCATGAGATGTGGGCTCTATAGCTGGTGTTTGTTTCACGTTAAAAAGATATGTGATATGTTTACACACACTACGGGTGAAGAATTTAGTAAACCAGTTGCTTTGTGGTACTAGAGACCAGACACTTGTAAGACAACGTGACTTTTTCTGCAAAGCCTGTACATTAAAAAAACCCATTATTTCTTCTGCCAAAATCATTACACTCAGAAAGGTAAAAAATGGACGATGATTTTAAAACAAAGACCGGGCAACAGCAGGATGAAGTAGTCCATGACTTTAAGCTCGGCATATTCTGCATCTACATTCAAAACAATAATTATTACCAAAAGATACTAATAAATTCATCATAACTCAAAGTAGAAATTAGCTACCTTCGATGCTTTGTGGACCAACTAGATTCATGGCCTGGTGCGCAGGATATTCTACCCGGGGTCTGGCAATGCCCAGTTGCTCCATAACCCCATGGAGGAGCCTCTGAATATCTGCTTCAGAAACCCTGTCAGGGGTCCTAGGGCTGTGGCTGAAAGCTGAAGCCAATCCAAACGCCAGCAGAAACATCATGTTAGAAAGCAAGGTGGTTGCCATCCTGGTAGCCACTTTTATCCTGTGAAAAAAGAAATTTGGCCTGGTAGCCACTTTTATCCTGTGAAAAAAGAAAGAAATTTGATTATAAATGATAGTGGGGGAAAAAAAAGTCCAGTATGCATGCTGGAAATAACCCCTGATCTTACTGCTGCACATCACAGTTTACTACCACAGCTTCCAGAGGCAGCTGAAAATCTAGCCAGCTGAAAATGATGCGGTTGGAGGGGGAATAAGGTGGATACCTTCTCTTCTATAAAAAAAAAATAAATTAAGTAGGAAACAGTAGAAATTAATTTCCTGATTGGCATTTGCCCATACCATTCATTAACAGTCACCGCAAACAAAATGGATCCGCTGTTTCATTTAATGACATATGATTCCCCTCCCCCCCCCATCCATGTTTGTTCTGCTATTTTATAAAGCCCTGGGCTAAAAGCAAAGAACTCTTCAGCCAGGAACTGTTTTCCAAGCTCTATTCTTGCATTGCCTGACAAAACGAATCACTAGGAACTTCTGAACCACCTGGATTATATTTTGTTTGCACCTCAAGGCAAGAGGCTTCCCCTTCATATGCATCATCTTCCCCACCTGAAGCAAAGAGATTTCATTTGTTTCCTTGAATCCCTTTCACTAAATGGCCGCACAGTGTAACTTAATTAGGAAACAAACCCAAAAAACCCCACCAAGCACGACTTACTGTCCTTGTTGAGAGGCTGAATTTTAATGTGAACGCTCCTCACATCAG